ATTTTTTTGGTTTTATTTACAAATAAAAATATTGTTTTTATAAACTTTTACAAACGATTACAATTTTAATATAAAATTATTAAACACAATATTTAATTTAAACAAGAAGGTTGAGCTACGTATGTAATTTTATTTAATTAGTAACTGTGTATTAACCTATAGGCAAGATATATTATTATTAATACTTTATCAGAACATAGACAATAATTAATATGTTTTATGATCGTTGTCAAAATATGAATAATATAATACATATTCGAACATTGTATAATAAAGTCTATCATTTTTCAAATACTTGGATTGCTTATGTCATTTTAATAGGATAAACATTTTTTTCAAATTATAACGATCCTTTTTTTTTCTGTAAATCCTGTAAATCATTAACCAGATTTTCTTTTTTTTTTTTTAATTTTGATATAAATTAATCAAAACTTGTACCAGTAGTTTCTAAGTTAATGAGCTTATAGTTTTATAGGTAAAACAGCTGATGAACATTTAATGTTTGTTGATTTCAGGATATTTTTTACAAACTATACCACTGTAATAAAATAATATTAGTTACTATGCATCAATATAATTTTAAGATCACCATAGCCCTTATTATCGTAGGATATCATCCTTAATATTGGAATTTAAATATGTAATTCAGAAACTACTTGCATGCATTTTGATATATATACATCAAAGAAATCATACAAACAATTTAGAATAAAAAAGGTAGTTCTCAGGGGATATTTTAACGACAGACAGAATTATTTAGTAGAAATTTTATTTACTAATATGTAACATATTGTATTTTTTTCCTTATTTATTTTTTTTTTTTGCAATTTATATTATATTCATAAAGTAAAAATAATGTTCATTAGATGTATTGAGAAATGCAAATCAATATGTATTACAGGCACGACATACAAGATATAAATTTACATTTATATAAAGTTAAAACAAAAATTCAATTATATATACTGGGTGGTTGTAAAACGCTCATTATTTTAAAAACTATTGACATTTTTAAAATATCTAACTTACATAATCTTAGTTGCTAAAGACAACATTTTTATACAAAAAAATTGTTTTCTGTTTTATATCGTAAATCTTAAATAACGAAAACATGCGTTTTTATTTTTTTATTCTTAAGCAAAATATTTTTTGAAGTTTTTCAATATATCAAAATCGAATTTTTGACGAGTAATTTTTAAACTATAACTATTCAAAATGTTGATGAGCAGAGTGAGTGAAAAGAGATATCTTACAAAATGTCGATCCTCTCTGTTCATTAATTATACTTTAAAATTAAAATAATTATATAAAATAAACTAAACTAAATTTTATTCATCGACATACTCCAAATAATATTCTACTTCGGAATATGAAATTAAAAATATTTGTTTGTTACTATATAAACTACATAAAAGAAATATTATCAAAAACGTTAATGTTTTCTAAAATAATGAGTCTCTTACATTCAGTGAATCACTCCGTATCTATGGGATGTAATAATTTAGAAAATATGTTCATTTTACTCAAAAATATTTAAATATATCATGTTTTCCAAAAACGCTAACTCTGTATATAAACTAAGTATTGACAATTTTCAAGTATTTTAATAAATATTCATTATAATACTCGTCAGCCTCGAATTTCAATATGCGCCAAGTTAAAAATGATCTTGAACGAGTTTACAGTTGTTTGCCGTGAGCTGATGCCAGTGTTGTTTAAATGCTGCCAATATATTTTAGTTATAATACATTTATTATAATATCTAAACAATAAAAAAAAAAAATTATAATTTAACTGTCTGTTTTTGTCTAAGTTAATCTTCAAAACAGTTAAACGGAATTTTCTCAGGTATAACTGTATAAGTAGAAAGCGTTCTAATGATTAATGATCAAGGAAAATTTGACATTTTAAGATTATAGGGTTATAATTTCACTTTTATTAAATTTAAATGGCTATTTAATATTTATACAATAAATTAGCTTTAAAGTTATTGATTAAATCGTCATGCTGGATATTTTAACTTATTGGGTATACTACGCAAAGTTAGTTTTAAGCGTTTATAGTTTTATACTTTTTATAAACCCATATTCTATCCCTGGAAAATTGAGCTAAAAAATAGGAATATACTTTTAGTCAAAACTTATTTTTTTTTTATGTAAAATATGTTAAATCATATTTTTCTTCAATTATGAAGTAGAAACTGCTTAGCGAGTTTCAATTTAAACTATTTACTTATATCAGCATTAGTATCCAAAAAGTGTTAACTAATAAGTAAAATTTATATGCTATTATACACCATAAATGAAGTTTATGTTAATTAATGTTAATGCATTAAGATATTTGAACAAATAAATTATCTCCGACAAAATAAAATTGTAAATAAGTAATAACGGAAAGTAAGAAATTTCCCCTCTCCAATCACTCCTTCAAAGTATAAGTATGCCCATGGTGCGGTCTATGGTACAATGGTTCATTATTACTTAAATAATATTGAATATTTTCTTGATAGAATAAAAACAATTATTACTTTACTGGCTTGGTTCGAATTACGAGTAAACAAAATTAAAAAATAAAATTAATCTATTATAAACTTAAACAAATTATGACTATAGTAACTATATAACAATAATTTAAAAAGTATATTTTTTTTTAAATTTATGTAGAATAATTATTATAAAAACAGTAAACATACACAATTCTTAGCATTATGTAAACTCCAACATAATAAGTAAATTATGTTTCATAAAGCACTTACTACTCAAGTACGTATACAAGAGAGAATATGGGTTTCAGATCCTCGCATAGGCCATTTTTTTACTGTATAAAATAATGTTTCTAGTATAAAAGCGACAAGCGTTCCAAAGGAATATAAAAAAATTGCTGAAACTCTGTTGTAAATTTTTATTTTGTCACATCCAAAAAACGGCAAACTGTTATACTAACGACAAATCAGTAATCAAAGCGTTATGTTAGTTTAATATAATATATTTATATCATAAAAAAATATTATTAAAAGAATAAAATTTGACGGATCAACAAATGCAAAGGCCGTCGCCATTGCAACTACGACACACGCATGTCCGTTGATTAATAATACATTTTTCTATATTAAAAAAAGTTTTAAAAATAAAAACATAATGCACAGATAAGTTTTACACATTTGTACTAAAAGATTATAAATTTTTGAATATCTACTAGCTTATAGGAACATTCCTATAGTTCTAATTCTGAAGAAGTACCTAATTGGTAGATTAACTAAAAAAAAAGAGAATTAAATTTTGTATTTTATTTATTTGTAGTTTTTAAATAAAACTTATTAAATATTCATGTTTTATTATTTATTATTTTAATGGCACACTTAAATACCTTGGTCTAACACTTAACCAATGCTTAACATGGGCTCAATAAATATGAGAAAAAAGACTATCCCTAAACAATCAGCAACATAGGTATGCTTAATTAATAGTTAATTTGTAATAAAGTTATCCCATTTAATATCAAACTACAAAATGTACAGGACATTGTTAAGACTCATTTAGATGTGCGAACTTGAGCTATATAGAAATGCTAAGAATTTCAATCTGAATAAAGTACAAACTTTTTAAAATATCGCCTTAAAAAAATTATTAAATACTAAATACTACTCCAGTTATATCAAACCATACTCTACACATTGATTATAAATTAAAAACAATTTATGACGAAGCTTAATGTTTCTAAAAAAATTTCATATTTGTCTTCCCATACAAATCTACTTATTAAAAACCTATCATCCCTCACAAATTGCAGGTAGCCTTTCGGCCTTCAAGGAGACTTCAACGTAAATGGTGCAGAGATTTATGACATTAAACCAAGAATTAAAAATAATAATAGTAATAAAAATAAAAATAAAAAGTAAAATAAAAATATACAAGCCCTAAATCTAATTGAAAGTATCATCACTGGATAACTTCTTTTCTTGAATTAAACAACTCATTTTTTTCCGTTTTCTTAACCCACGTATATTATATCTACGGTATAGATGATATATTTTCTCCTAAAAATAAAAATAAATTATTTAATGCACATATACCAAGGTTTAAATTTTTTTCTTATCCCCCTCGCATAAATTTGTATATACAAGCCACTGCTACCACCTACTTAATTTCATACTTGACAAACTCCGTAAGCATTATAAAAATTGCTGCTAATACCCTACTCAATAGTTAACAGCAATAACCAATAACATATCTAATCAATTCATCTGATTTTGATTGACAAACAACGTCAAAAATAAACCACATGCTAAAAAAACGCTAAAAATTCTAAAATAAGTTGTTAGGTTTTTATGTGTTTTTTTAACAAATTTTTTTTCCATAGTTTTTTTCTCGAATGATTAAAATTATAAAATGTAAGAGACCGATTATAGTACTCTCGGTTTCAAAATTGTTAGCAATTACAAATATTATGTATACATTTTTTACAATATCTCAAGATGTAAAGATTCTAAGCTGTAGCATTTAAATACACATTTTATCTTTTTGTTTGAGTTGTGCCCATATAATTTAGATGTCACTTTTTTCATCGAGTATCTATACAAAAAAAAGCTGAAAATTTATATTGGTTTGATTAAAAAAAAAAAAAATTAGATACTTAGAGTGCTTTATTGACGTAGATCACTTACTTTGAAAATTATTTTCATTTTCATAGACATAATTTACGTAAATAAACTGTTATATCTACAATTAAATCATACGTGATTTGAATCGAAACAAAAAACATGTTTTAATTATTCAATATTTTAAGTATTTGATCATCATTGTAGATTTTGACTTATATGAATATAGATAGTGCATGTAATTATGTATAAATAAATCTGTAAACAGTTTTCACTGTTTTCATTTAATATTTTGTTGTTATTTTGACGTAATGCTTAAGTCGCCATGACGTATTTACTCAAACGCTGTAAATGGTTGTCGGTGAATGCGTATATATAGGTACGTATCATGCATTAGTGTAGACACTAGACAATAGTAAACGAGTAGTACGGGTAAAAAACTGTTCAATTTCCAAACCAGTTTTCATTTCACTCTACGACGATCGGCTGACTAGCAGATTTTAGAAGCTTAGCGCAGTGCATTTTTGTCCGTACCTCCGTGCAAATATAAAATATTACTACAACCATTACAACACTACTTCATTAATATGGCTACATTACAAGAGGTAAATTTTAATGATAAATAATATAAAAGCACAATGAATTTAAAAATAATGGACATTTAATTAGTTTTGTTGTCACAATATAATTTTAAAACTAAATTAATATTTAATATTTTGTATTACTATAACGACGATAAGGAGATTTTTGTATATTCACGTGTATATATTATAACAATTATTGTTTTTCTGTCGTGCGCATTGACAATGCAATCATTATAAAGCACTAAATTATTAACAAAATCCACCGTAAGCAACAAACAATTCAATTTTCTTTAAATTTTTAATTAAACTATAGTGTAAAACATCAAGTAGTTATAGGAACTTTTTTGTAAAAATCTAAGTTATTCACTATGCATTGATGATATCGATCCTTAAAATATTAATGTCTCCAGTCTGTCTTTGAGTACTTTATCGCTGCAGCTATAAATAATTTCGAATATAACTCATACGTACCTACATATTTTATTATTACAAAATAATAACAGTTGAATTTCTTCTTCGGTGATACGCAAAAAATAATTTATTTGTTCATTTTCAGTTCTAAAACTCTTCATTCAAAAAATAAAAAGTTCTCTCTTCTTAATGACGATTTCGAATAATAATATTATACAACACGTTTAAACAAAATGTCGTGACTCGTGATGTCAATAATTTTCAATGCGAATTATTTATAGTATGCAGTTCTTATTAATAAGTTTTATACTATACGATTTAAGTGTGTGATAATAGTCATTAATAATTATCATGACATGTGTACATTTCAATATTAAATTATATATATATATATATATATCTGTAGACAGTGAGATGATCAATTTCTATGAAATTGACATTTTATCTTCCAATCTATAATTATACCTACTTGATACGTGTAGTTTTATTTTCTAAAGAAAACTTAATAATGTGTTGTGAATTTTATTTTTGCAGCGTACAATTTTCACCGTTTTATAACCACTGAAACTTTTAAATTAAAACAAAGGTCTATAACCTACTTCTCATTATATTATATATAATGAATTTCAATTATAGGTATGTCTTGCATAAAACATTTTTTTTTTTTTTTTACTCCAATCAATTCAATGTCAGTTACAGTTTAACCTGACCGGATAATGCATAATATATTATAATACAATATTGATTATTGTAAGTTTATAATGGATAAAATCTAATTTAAGTTTGTGAATAATCTAAAGAGTTATTTAATTTTAATCCTTAATGACTTATTTCGTGAAAGTCCTAGAACGTTATAATAATTTAACCAATTTCATATTATAATAACATTTTTATGTAGTATTTAGACACGTTTCATCAATACCTTACACTTTACAACAGTTTTATTTTCAACGTTATTAATTTAATAATAAATTTCTCCTTGCTAGAATCGCGGAAACACGTGTTTATTGCGTACTGTAGACCGCAGTATTACAAAATATAATAATATAACTGCTATAATTGTAGAAAGCCAGAAAATTATGTTAGGTACGTTTTTAAAATCCAGCAGACCGTTGACGTATACATAATAGATTTGTAGAATAAGACCACGCGGAACGCTGTATGAAATAATTTAAATGTTATAATATGCGAATCGACGCGCAAAATGTATCACAATGATTTCAAAACGATCTGTGATTGTTTTCGCGGACATGAAGTACAACATATTACTTAATATCAGGTATTAAGTCCTTAAAATACTGCCTGCACTGTACACAAATACGCATACTATAAGTGTTAGCTTTGAATGTCTTTAAGACTTGGAGAAAAGACAAGTAAAAATCAAGACAAATTTCTCAAAAAAATATCTATTTTTCACTTCGGTGTACGTGTACTTTATAATGTACAACAACAGTCGTGTGCAATTACGTCGTTCAACACTCGTATGCCTCCAAGTGCATTTTATTTACCTGTATTATATAGCTCCCCAGAGGTCAACAACTCAGAGAAATAATAACAATCATTTTCGTTATACGTATGCATGTATAGATAATGAAGAAACAGCACGTCGGCAGTGCCTTTATAATATTATGTTGTATACGGAGTACCTAACAGCTATAATATATAAATGTATGAGTAACCTTAAGCCTACATACATACGCGAGAGATTTCTTCCGCTTCCGTGTGCACTCATATTATTATATGATGTTCTATATAAAACGTACACGCTATATGATATTGATCATCACGTAACATAACGTGCGTAAGATGTGGATATATATATATTATATACGTTGAAAAACAATAATAATATTTTGGGTTCGTGGGTTTGAGGTAAGAAAAAAATACAGCGCTCGGTCAATAATAATATTATCGTTTGACGGATGATACCTATAAATATAATACAGGTGTATGATGTTATTATTATTGTTGTCGATTCGTTATTTTGATGTTACATGTGTATGTTATGTGCGTGTCTCGTTATGATTGTTGTTGTTGTTTTTTTTTTTCCACAGCGTTTCGAAGCGGCCGCTGAAGAAGTGAAAACGCTCACGAAGAGACCGACCGACGTCGAACTATTGGAACTGTACGCTCTCTACAAGCAAGCCACAGTTGGAGACAACGACACCAGTTAGTATATTGTAATGTAATATATACATAATGTGTTCGGTGTGACGTTGTGTTTGTACATTACTTATTTTTTTTTATTGTATATGCACACCCGGACGTGAAAAAAATTACTGCAAAGTAAAGTAGAACATTTATAATATTACAATAGTATATTATGTTCGTAATGCGTGTACACGGTGCAAGTTTATGAAACATAAATTTAAATTTTAAATGCATGAGAATTGCTATCGCATGGTACAGTAAGGATTATTACGTATATTTTTATATTCAAGAAACGAAAAAAATAAATCCATACGATATAAGATGTGCTTTAGCTTAGAGAAAAATTGTTAGTGATTGAGCCAACATGAAGTTTGACAACATATTTGCCTTTTACTCGGCTTGAAAATATTCAATATATTCTTAAGACATTCGTGATCTTAAATTATGAATTATTATTAATTATGATCGATTATTATGATTTAGTTAAACGACTTTGGGTTGATACATTTCATGGAATAGTTTCAAAGTAATTCGACTCATTCGTTTATCTGTTAAACCTGTAACATAAATTCCATAAAATCAAACTCATGTAACTGTAGATATATAATATGTTCGGATTAAAACAAATATTAAAAAAAAAATTAGTAGAGCCTGGACAACGTTCATATATATTATATAACGATCAATTGGATAATAAGTAATTAAATAATCAAAAATGTGTTTGCGTTTCCAATAAAATATTATAATATCACAGTATTAGGGAACAGTGATTATTATTTATGAATCAAGAAATAGGATAATATAATCAAAATTACCTAATTTTTTGCGGCATAAAGAATTAGCAAACTTACACAATATTTTATCAAGATCACTTATATATCATAATATTTAATATCAAGCATAAATTATTGGTAATTTGTGCGAGTCAAAAACACTAATTTGTTTTTCATACCTTTATAAACAGCGGCAAACGTATTGTCGTTAAATACATTTTCTCTGCGATTTTATTTTCGTTATCATAATACTTCTTATTTTCACAGCAATACGTCGAATTTAAAATTAATTTTATGCTGACCTATAACAATAAACAACGTTATTTATTACTTATTAGTATGCACTCTAATTTACGCTTTGTATGACTTTTGACATTTGACAAAACTCGTACTAACAAAAAATAAGCCTGCGTATTGTAGTAAGGGTGTATATTTTCGCACCGTTGAAAAATTATCGAGATTAAAATATTCTAAACATTAAACAGTTATTCACGTTCAATAATTCATATTTTGACGTTTTCAAATTTAAAAATAATAAACTGAAAACAAATTCAGTCGTGTATGCTAATACTTAAATATAATAAATTACGACTCTAATATAATTTATTTAATGCGACTCTTACCTGAAAACAAAAATCAAAACTAATATAAAATGAGCACAATACGTCACAAATTATGTAACTTACTTATTTACGTATACATCACACATTCCGTACTTACCTACTTATTTATATGAATTTACTAATCTTAATATGACAATATTATAATATGTAAATTACAGTTTATAATACATTTTTATTAATTTAATAAATATAGGCAAGCCCGGTATGTTTGATTTGAAGGCCAAAAAAAAGTGGGAGTACTGGAACAATATTAAAGGTACTTCCAAAGAAGACTGCCAAGAAAAATATATTGCAAAAATTGAAGAATTCGTTGTCAAATACAGGGATTGATTTCTAAAAATAAACTAATATATTTATAAATTTATAATGTATCTTTTATCATACGTTTTTTTCTTTGTTGTTCACTCGTTTACAAAAATCAATATAATTTAAATAAATAAACGATTTTTTTTTTATGTATTTTAATGTAAAATACATTTTAATATTAACATTCAATATTGAAAAGAATTGAACAATTTTAACTTTTAAAAGGGTGATCTATTATTTTCTTTAAAACCTATTTTACGTAAAGCTGTCTTTCGTAAAAAAAAAAAATGTAAGGAACAATTTAATATAAACTAAATTTTTAAATTTTAAAGGATCATAGAATGTGTATAATTTTTTATTGTATACTACTCATTATTTTCATTTGATTATTTATTAAGTGCTAATAAAATATTAATAAGTGTAATATTGAACATTGTTTTGTGAGTATTTTCAATTTTTATTACTGTTGTAATAATTATTATTGGGTATAATAATGATTAATGAATAATGACCATTTTTATTTTAATATTTTTGTTATATTTAGTCAACTTAAAAGAAATCAAAGAACTCACTCTGCTGTACTTATAATAAGTTTTATATTTACCTTTTCATTGAATTGGTCTTCTGTAATAGTTGTGTTAAATTTTAATTAAATTATAAATCGAAAATCGATCCAGCCTGTATTTCTAAGGAAAGTTTATTGTATATTTATATTTCATAATGTTATGGCGAGATATGTTAAACTAATTTTTAACAACAATTTAGCATAAGTATATTTTTTAATAGCTATTCTATAATAATTTCATATTTATATTATATACCATTATACATATAACTTATAAGTAAATATCAACGTACTGTAGAACGGTATAGTTTCGTGTTATAAATTATTGAATATACAGCTTAAAATAAAACAAAATATTTTTCAATATTATTGAATAACAATAGGTTGAATTCATAGTGTAATATATCAACCTTTTAAAGTTAATATTTTTAGCATTACAACTTAAGACACAGGTTTTCTTTCTACCAATTTATAAATGTTATTTTGGTATGTATAATTCTAATAACTTATAATACTATATGGAAAAATCAAATTTTTAGATATTTTTTTTTCTTAGCTTCTATCGATTATGATTGGGAGGCAAAATTATTTTAAATACAAAATGTTATGTTATACAATTATAATTAAGTTTTTTCTGAAAATTATACAACAATATTTTTTTTCAAGTGAATTGTTATAAATTATAACTTATAATATTGAGGCTGTTATATAATTTAGAAAAATTATAATTATATTTTTTATTGACGAATAAAATATTTAGGTTAATCTATGAGGATTCTTCACAAAATATGTGATTATAAACCTAATGTTTTAGTTAGTCATTTGCCCAATATATTATAATGAATCAATTTTACGTATCACCATTATTATTTACATTTTTAAATCTTTAAACATAGATAGGTCTAATTTTAAAGTTTTCACTATCAGGAATGTTTATGTTGACACAATAACTTAATAATATTTTATTATTTTGTACACAGCTCTGTATGCAGATTTCCAAATTACAATATTATGTTTTATCGTCGTGACTCAAGATGTTGTTGCTCGTTATTATCTCTCTTATTATTATTTTATTATTGTCGACAAATGACGTATATATGACTCATTAATTTATTTTTTTAATACTTTATCTCTACCTGTTCGCTCGATGCTTCGACTTTCTAATCATGGAAATGTGGTGAATAAATCGCAGCGTTTACGTAATAAGGACAGGATTATCTAGATTTCATACTGGTTTAAATACAGTTAACCGAAAACTATTAAAATTATACACTAATAGACAATTATAGAAATCTTCTCTACACGCCACATAAACAGAATAATAATAAAAATAATAATACAGATTATTTTTGAGTAAATTTACAAAGTCTAATTTTCAGTAAAATAATTATTTTTTAACCAAAAAATGGCGTGGATAAAGCTGAAATACTAGTATGGAATACTTTTATTTTGATACCATTAGTTTAATAAAAATAAAAACTAAAAGTATTAAGTTGGTTATACTTTTTACTTATACTTAACATTCTAATTTAACAGTATTAAAAAAAAAATAGTTTTATAATGAAAAATACAGTCCGTTTTACACATACAATGGAATATCATGATTAAATGACATACCACATGATAATCTAATTTATATGAGTTTTTGTTTTTTAAATAACTTTTATAGAAGAATTTACATTCTATACTACGTATATGTACAATGAGTAAATTTGTGGGAAAATTAACAGTGATGGGGCGGTGAAGAGGAAATTCACAGTACAGCAACCTAAAAATTAATTTTAAATTTACAAAGTATAAAGAAGTTCTCTAGATCAGTTCCAGTTGATGTGTTTGATTGGATTGCCAAGAAGTTATTTTGAGTGCAGTTGAGATTTGATATGATTTGAGCGTTCTCTTGTATTTTAGAGATTTATATGAATTATAACTTTTTCATTGAACCATAACTGTATGTTACTATCGACATACTTAAGAGATTCAAAATCGTTTTGTAATAATAGTAATACAAATTACAATTATAAGTAAAATAAATTGTCACTTTTTTAAATATTTTGAATGTATTTTTTTTTTAAATTTAAATCTTATATTTTGAAATTTTTTTATGCAATGAATTTGGATATGGATTTTGAAATTCAATAATTTGATTAAGGATTTTGCCAAGTTTTATCAATATCATAATCAATGATTATTATTATATTATATTCGTTTTTATTTACACGCAGCTTTATGATTATTACCCGACGGAATGTACATTATATTGAGTTCCTGTACACTAATTTATTGCGATTGTAATCACTCCTGTTTGTAGTGTAATGAAAATGTAAAAAATTTTTGTTTTACCAACAACCGTTGTGCATCCTTTCATGTTGATTTAATGAATATACATTTACAATAATTTATATTATATTGTATTAATAGCCAATTTTCAATGTATATCTATAAAAATGGATAAATCAATATCTGTACGGCTGTATACTTTTAATGTTTTTAATTGTTAATTATTTTTAAATACCTATACATAAATACAAAATACCACATCAAATGATAGCTTACTCATTAAACATAATAAGAGTATGATAATATTAACTTCAATCTCCAATAACATTTATATTAAATATATTAATAGATTATAGATTATGGATGAGTTTATTACATATTTATGATCGGCAACAATCTGAATTTATAAAAAATGTATATTTGCTCCGTGAAAACAAGCGTACAACGCAGGTACAATGTACACATTTTAATTATTAGTTATTAAAACATTTAAACGTAAATAATAATGAAAACCGTGTGATAAATTAAATTTTATTCAAATTTTAATCATAGGTTGGTAAATATATTAATATTATATTGTATAATGTATACGAAAGTAAACCCGATGAGTGATTGATGATTTTAATGTGTATTTAATATTGTTCATTATTTACCTTTTTATTTATTTGTTAATTTTTGTTACTAAATAAAAATATAATGATATATAGCGTCATGTACATTGTAAATAGATTAGTACAAAAGTATAAGAGTGTATCAAGGCTATATCATACTACTAAATTATTTATTAATTGTTATTGGAATCTCCTGTATACATATATTTAAGTACTTCGAATTTCGATGTTATTTTCATTTTCATCTTTTTTCTAGTATTGGGAGACAGACTTATTTATAAATATTTTTCTTTCTAATATTATTGATTATTATAAATACCACCGAATAGAACAAAAAAAAAAAAATAAATAACAATACAGGTTAAGGCCATTAAGGGTACTCACAGGTTACAATACCCACCAAACAAGTAGGTAACGACGTTACGTCATTAATTACTACATTTTATGCATCATACAAAGTGATGCATTGTCTATGCTTGGAAATAAATATAAAGTTGTTTTAATTTGATTTATCGTATTTTTTTTTTAAACATAAGTGTAAAATCTATAGCCAATAGATTATATGCAGTATTTAGTTTTTTATTTAACCAATCAAACATGAATAGACTATAAATTATAATAAACATAATAATAATAATAAATATGTAGCTACTAGAAAAATATAATTTAATGATTAATCAGATCTCATGACTTATGAAAAATTTAAGTCAAGATTTTCATACATTTTATATTATGATGCATAAATATATAAAATATAGACAATGATTAGATTTGTCCACTCTAGATTATACTATGTAGATGGTTCGATTGTTCGTATTGTTACAAAGTTTATTGTTCTATTGCTGTTAATCAGTCACAACTTGAAGTTATTATTTGAACTTGTCAGCTGTTAACACAAAAGTGATGTCAAGTATTCAGCAACAAATCGAAAAAAAAAGTTACATGGTGTGACTTGGTTTGGAAGGAGGAAAGAAAGAATTGCTTAAAACAACTCTTCAAAATAAAAATATATTTAATTTTTTTTTTAATTTTTACACAGATTTTCATTTTCATTTTTTTGAAAATAAACAAATATTATTAATTAGTAAGAGATAAAGAAATTTGATTGTCAATAGATCTATGTTTATTTTTATTTATTAAAATACTAGCAATATCAAATAATTATATAATTATATATTCAGCCATTTAATGTGTTTTACCTTAGAAACTATTCTGCTTTAATTTAATAGTTTCAAAAATATTGCTACTATTTTATCAAAATTCATAATATACTTTTTGGTTAATAGATTGTTACGCTTAAAACTTTTTTCTTCGATGTTTCTATAAAATAAGAAAAATAAAACACTATAATATAAGTAGTTTATCTAGAGCCAATACGTTAGAGAAATAGTAAATATTTGAGTAAGCATATTTTATACATAATAAAATTTTCTTAGAAATTGTATCACACCTATAGAGTAAACATAGTAAAATACTCACTATAATAAATAGAATATTGATGGTTATTAAAAAGATATGATATAACAATTAAAGTTATCTATTTGGATCCTCCAGTTTTCCAAGTTGGCCTATAGGGCTATAGCTAAAAATGTATCTAAATTATTTTTTTTATAATATTATACTATAATACATTTTATGTAAATAAATAAATAAATACCAGTATTAGTATTTTTTAAAATAGTACTAAATAACTACTAAATAATTGATTACTATAAAATACAATATTTTTTTACCTTATAACTTCTAGTATTTATATGTATATAATATAATTACAATCCATTCAATTAGAATTACCTACACATTTACATTTGTTATAATTAGTTATTAATATTTTATATATTACATGGTATACCATACCATGTTGTACTCAGTATGACAATATACGAGTACACAAACAAAATAATTTAAACAATATGTACCTACCTATTCAATACTTTGATATTTTTTCAATATTGCATTTTTTTAATATTGTATTAGGTAATCAATACTAATGGCACAGAATATTATCATTTTCAAAAAAATCCAACAATATCCCCATACAATCGTAAATATCTCATTATATCCCGCTGCACAAATCAATATTCGATAAATGTTTATTTTAAATTTTAAATACCTAGTATTGTAAATATCCTACCAAAACAAACTTACATTTAATAAAAACTTGTTTGTTCTTGCTTTACTATATTCCCTGACGTATTAGCATACCACTATTTCAGACGTAGGTACATAGTTTGTTTTACATTATTGTTCCAATATTTAATTTATTTGTCTGTGCATACGACTAAATAATATGCAGTTAATAGATATCTAGCTGTATAAATAAATACCTATTGACGTATAGCGTATACTTAAACATATCAAACGATGAGATGATTAAAGCTAATATAATACATCAGACATATTTAATATATTACCATATAAACATATCTTTGATAAATTATTTACCAATAAATATTAATGATTGTTTTACCCGCTTAACTCTATACAATATTATAGAGCTTATGATTTATAAGTTATAACTCGATAGTTATTTCATTTTCATAATCTGTGAACGTATTTATATGAAAAAAAAAAATACAACTATAATATCCAGTTTTCTAGTTCCTATTTATTTTTTCTACTTATTAAAATTAAATCCATTCATTATTTATTATGTAGTATGTACCTATTACTATTGTCTATTGTTTACTAATAAATATAGATGATAATATAATATAGTTTTAGGAATTTATTGCAACTAGTTTCAAATTCCTATAGTTATTAGAATTTTATTTTTATATTTTTTACCTATATTGAATAATTCAACTGGTATTCATTGAGCAATAATTTATGTATAATATTAAAAACAATGTTTAGCTTCGGATTACAAATGTAATTAGTATGAGATAATATTTCATTTTCATGATTTATTTTACATTTGTAATAAAATGTATTTTTAGAAAAATTGTTTTGGTTTTAAGTTGATACAAAATCATATAAGTAATGAGTTTAGAATTATTTTTATGATAGAGAATTCCTACATCATAAGTTATTAATTTATTTTAATTTGGAAAAATAATTATTTTAGTTAGTTAATACTACCTATATAACAATAAATAAAATTACGTGTATAAAATGTAATTTAGATTGTGTACATTATAATATTACTTTAGTTGTTTGGTCTAATGACTTTCAAGCTATGAGTCGCGATTATTAAAAAAAGTTTGGGAGCCGTTGCTGTAGTCACTATAGTATACATTTATTATTTAGTTATCAATATTGTTCCGTCCGAAATCTAAAACATATATTTTTAAGAATCATATTCATATTTATAACGCAAATCAGAAGACTTCAAAATGTCAAATCGTGGAATACCAAACAAAGTCAAACAAATAATAAATAATACATTTATGCATGTACATGATCAGAAATCCCAAATTCCTAAAGAGAGTTACAATGAAATACATCATGAGAAATAATTTTTTTAATTATAGCTTAAAAAATATGTAATATATTGTTGTTTTTATTTATAAAAAAAAATGTTTTTTTAATTATAGCTTATCAGTTATCACATATCCATATTTCACATAGTGACATGTTAAGGATTTTTTTGTGAGAGGGGAGGGGGGGGTGATACGATTAAAATGTTCAATGCCAGCATTTTATTACTTACTGATAAATAAATGAATAATAAAATAAACATAACTATAACTGTTTAAATATAAGTTTAAAAATAGAGGAGGATCAAAATGGAAGATATATCCCTATAATCTACCCGTAAATACGGCACTAACATATTATCTAATTAGTATATAAACAGAGATAATATAGTAGGTGCATATAGATATAGTACAGTATAACTAAAAATCTATGTATAATATAATATAACATCAAATAATAATAAATTCAATATATCACAGACTAACAGAACTAAATGTATAATCGCTGATCTCACCATCACGCCCAAGTCCATACAATAATATTAAAATACGATAGTTGCAATTGCAATAACTAATATCATGCTTTTAAAAAGGGACTGTCACTACACGTAAACAATATTATTGCAGTTATTAATATTAGTTTATGTTATGTCAATGTATGCATTTATAGAGCAATGCGCTATGAAAAGTTCATAAAGTAGTTGATGACATAAATGTAAATTTGGATAGCTTGATTATTTGGGTCTTACCTAAAATAATTTATTCATACACTAATGAGTAAAATGTAAAATATTAGACGTTAGTACATAAAAGTTAAGGTTTTCCCACTTATCAGTGATCGATGGGGGTTAACCCCTTATACAAAAATTATGTATATATGATACACCAATAGTTCGTAGTACCCATTGTACCTATATAAAATTCATATTATCATAAAATTCTTTTCATAATTAAACATTGTTATACAACATATTATATTTGGGTTTAACTCAAATAATGAGTTTTTTAATATTTAGAACCACGATTTAAAAAAAGAAATAGATATGATCGATTTTTTTTACACCGGATTTCCTATTAGGAGGCCCTACTCAGCATTATTATATCTAACTCTAATTCTATTGTGTATTTAATTAAACCAATTGTTCAGAAATTTTCTGATTTTACCATTTTGACCAGAACAAATCCTAAAATATTTTTGAAAACATGCAACGCACAAAATGTATTTAGTATGATAATATTTGAACGATATTTATTTATTAATTTACTATAAATAAACGGGACGAGCACTTTGTAGTCACACACAAAATCAGAACACAAATCAATATAAAGTCTATAAATAATGATAAAAAGAGAAAATATCGATGATTTTGTGGAATCTCAATTCTCTACACGATGTTATCAGTATAGTGGCCAATTTATGCATAATTTATTACATTATTCGGTGTAGATGAAATGACGGTTTCGGGTTAAACGCTCAATACTATACCTATAGGTAAAATGGAAATATTATTAAGTCGGCGCGCAGCACACGCCGTGGCGAGTTACCTAATATAACCCAACATCCGTCTAACCGGTTAATCGCCTAAATATTATTATATTTTATCACAATAATAATATATTATTACCCATATATAAGCAACAAGCGTATTTTAACCGGCGCCCGCGTGTGACCTTTCTCGTTCCAATGTCAGAACACATCGTACCCGACCGCCACTCCGAACATTTAATAAGTCGTGTTCGTATTTCGTACGCGTTATAATGATATTCACGTACAAACTCTCTACGAATAGCCGCCGCCGCCGCCCCGCCACCACCGGCGCGATCGTGTGCCTACCAGCTATATACCGTGTACTGCCACGGTTAACGGTTATCAACACTCGACAGTTATCATCGACCACTCCGCAGCCCGCAATCGTTTTCTGACTTTCAAACTATTCACCAGCAGCTCACCTCACGCTTTACGGGCAGTATCTGCAGATCCGTACGCCGAAGACGTTTGTTGACGCGCACTTCCGCCATCGCTCTTAACCCGATCCTTTCTCAGGAACACGCACCATGGTAAGTTTACCCGCGATAAATCGCATTCAAACCGTATTCTTCCGTTTGTTTCACTACGATCATCGTAATGTTAATAGTCATATTCTCACGCAATGAATAATAATGTTCAACGTGTACAAAAACAACGCGTCCTCGTGAGTTTTGTCTACGTACACAAACATCGTTTTTGATCAGTTGATTTTCGATTGTCAAATAATCTCCATGTTTTATCATAGTTACTCTTGTCATTATTTACATAATTACAAATGCGGTACGAGAATAATCGTGACCCTGTAATGTGTGTACACGACCTCGGTGCAATTACTCGTGCCAACAAGTGTGACACTAACTCTAAAATATAAAATATAATATCCTAATACCTTACTGATATAACCGTGCATATAAATAATACTTTGCATTTGCAGTCTTTTGACGAAGCAGTTGATAAAGTGAAGAACTTGAAACAAACTCCCAGTGATAACCATTTGTTGGAACTCTATGCATACTTTAAACAAGCAACGGTTGGTGATATAAACACAGGTAAAAAGATTTGATACTAAAATATACGTAGAATGTGTACCGTTGTAACAATTTTTTATGTTTTACATAGCCAAACCTGGGTTTTTGGACTTCAAAGGAAAAGCCAAATGGGAAGCATGGAATTCAAAGAAAGGCATAAGCTCTGACGAAGCTAAAACAAAATATATTGAAATTGTCGATAAGCTTGTTGAAGAAATCGGCCTCAACGCTTAAACCATATGGCTAATTTAATGGTCATTAATCACAAACATGCAACACACAAATATCTACTCATAAATTCTACTTAATCTATTTAATTTAATAAAATTTGTGATAATGATTACAAATCTCACTATATTATATATAATAAAATGACCAAGTTGTTTGGTTGCATTTTAAAGTGTGCCTCTAAGTCACGCAGAAAGACTATTATTGACTTTTATGATCAACTTTGTTAATTTACATCACAGTTAAATTATTGTTAATTTATCTTCTTAAATACTTAAATATAGATCAATATTTATTCATTTACATTTCATTGGGAATAAGTAACTACAAAATAAAAACCATTTTTGATGATATATTGTTTTCGTCAGTGGTTTATGATTTACTTATGTATTTTTTTTTTTTTTTTAAGAATTGTGCCTTAAATTAAAATATTAGTTTTTATGAATTAAGTGATGTGTCTTTTTTATTTTTTCCAAATTGTTATATTATAGTATACCTTATTATTAAGATCTGGATTTTTAATCTCCGAGTAACTTAAAATAATGTACATGTAAACATAGAAAAACCTTCAAATACACATTTGAAACATTCTTAATTTGTTTTTAATTAGCTCATATAATATATATCCAACATTTTCTTAAAATTGTATTCATATTTTTTTTTTTATTTTAAAGTTAATAGTTAAAGAATAATTCTTTTTTAGTTATGAAATAATATTTCTACTCACTTTATTGAATTATTAATATTATACTTACAAGATATAACAAGAAAAATAATTATACAAACAATAAAAATAAATTATTAGTAAATACCATTTGCAAACTAGTAAAAATTAAACAATAAAATTTTATTAAAGTTAAGTACAATAAACGTATTATATATAATGTCAACTTAACAATTATATACCCTACAATATTGAAAATAGAAATATTTTTTAAGTGTAATTTAAATATGAAATTAGAAAATCTATGCTCAATAACTATAAACAAAAAACTAAATTACTTGTTAACCATAGAATAAATAACCATATATAATACCACATTATTACACTTTGATAAATTAACAACTAATTAATAGTATTTGTAATATTCTACAGTGAAAATAAAAATAACCAAAATATGTTTATTCTATGCATTTTCTTTTAAACAGATTTTCTATATTTCTCACTTTCATCAAACCATGTCAATAAAAATATGTAATTTAATTCAAATCCAGGCACTACGTATAACCATGTCTATTGTAATATGATTTTATTGATAAATAATTGTAGTTATTGGGTTTCATAATCATGAAATAGGTACCTTTAAATTATTGATTAGGTAGTGCTAGGGGGTTAAATACTTGACAGTTTAGTAATGGCTTACCTAGTATTTTTAGACTTACAACTATAAGTAGGTTGTGGCGTTTAAAATTTAGAATTTTTTATAGTTATTAATAATACTGAAAATATGCAGGCTTATCAATAGTTGTTCTATTACAGTTATAGAACTAATATCATTCAAAAATTTATATTTTTGTAGTAATTATAACAAATAATATGTAATATAATTTTTTTAATACTATGTAATAACTAGTTATATAATATTAACATATTATGATACTAGTATAGTCTATAGATTCTAAAATATTTATAATCAATAATAATAGGGTACCTATTAAATAGCACAGAAAAAAAATTGTTCAGTGATGCTTTTGTGGTAAACCTATTCAAAGCCTTAATATACCTCAAGATAAAAATATGTAATGATAAATACATATATCATAGGTAATGACCTATTACATTTATGAACATATTTTATATAGATAATAACCACATCATAATTTTAAATATTTCATTTTCATTTCATAATTATTAGGTAATTTTTATTTATACGTATATATATTATTAATAAACACATAATAATATGCTTTACCAGTATTAAACTGATACTCAAGCAGTAAAATGAAAACAAATTGGTAACTTTTGAAACGTTTGAACCAATACTATAATACAATTAGTGAATATAACTCTGCATTTATTTTATTTAAACATATTCTATATTTCATACTCATTAAATAATACTTTTTAACAAAATTTATTGGTGAGATATAAATGAATGTTTGAAGATATGAACCCAGCTCTGAGGTAATACCTGAAGTGTCCCAAATTAAAAACTAGGTATGTAGTAAGTAAAACGTTCATGAACATAGAACAATTAACTTAGGTCTATAAAGAATTATTTGTTTGTGTTTTTAGGTATACCTTATAATTATATATTTAAGTATTTATAATGATTATATGAGTACAAAAGTAACCACAATGACTGGATATATCTAGTCTTTATGGAAAAAAAATCAGTGAGTTATATAGTAATGAAATAAAGTTTATTTTATGTTAACTATTAAGGATGAACTTGCACTTTACCTCCTACAAAGTAGTTCATAAATCGAAATATATACTAATATAGTTAATATACTATCAAGTATCAACAATGTAAAGTGGATTGATATTAAATATTAATCCATTTTAATTTTATAGTTATATATATATATATATATATTTAGTTACAAACTACAGTCATCTTATTTTAATTTTAGCACTAGATGGCACTGCCGTATTAAATTAAAATTTATTTTTTTTTAATTTTCCGACTGTTAGCGGCAATCTAATTAGATGATTGAAACTTTTTATAAATCATTTAAAATATGTTTAAATGATTAAATATATATATATATTTATATTTTAATTTATAAAATAAAATATTGACAAATATTTTTGAAAATCTTCAATAATACATTTTTTAAAACATGTAACAACAATATTCCTAAAATATTTTTTATACTCTCCCTTGTGAAAGTTAAATCTACATTGAGGGGGCAGTAACCAAACCTATTGAAATAACAAATGAAATTCGATTTATAAACAATGAGTTAGCGTTTCTTTTCTCTGAAATGAAATATGAATTGAATGGGGATTCAAATTTAGAAGCTCGCCAACCCTGGTATAACTTTGACATTAAAAGGATATTGTTCGTATAATAAATCAGATATTGTTTCACACTATAACGCTGCTTGAGACGATGATATTAAAAATGTTAATAAAGATTTTATTGAGAGGGGTATGTTTAACGGATGTATTAATCTCAAAAATTTGTTTGGATTTTGCGAAGACTTTAAACGTATTTTAATTAACTGCAATCAACAACTGATATTAAATAGAGCGTTAAATAAATGTGGTTAAGCAGTATAAAAATAATGAAGTTGTTGTAACGCACCTAAACTAAAAGATATTAAAATAAATATCACTAAAATATCGTGCAAAATGCCTATAATTAAGGTTAATAATAAAGAAAAAATACAACTGTTAAAAGTAGTAAACCATCAGAAACCTCTAAAATGTGCATTTAAATCGTGGGAGTTGTGTGAATACTCATTTCTACTTCAAAACACATTACATTCGTGAATATTAAAAACATCTAACGGATTAGAAAAAACCTCGATATGCTATAATTGGATTTCAGACTGATAAGAAAAAGCAGTATGAGTAAAGCAATTTCATGTTTTGATCATTGTAAAATCAAAAACTTGAAGGTTTATTTAAATTCTGAAGTATTCTCCTATGAATATTTTCATAGCAACTTTACTAAAATCAAGAAGGCTACATTATATCGCGCATATACCGAGTTTCAGAAAACCTACTATGATCGTGATAATATTACTTTTGATTGACTCGATAAGATTTCAAAAAACTATCACCGGTTATAGTTATGGATATGAGCACAGAACGGTAATGTAAAACGTCGACTGTTGACCTAAGGATTGAAATTGAAACTGAAGAAGCGTTTCAGCCTCCACTTCGACATATTGCATAATATTACATAACCAAATTATAACTTATAATCTATTTAATGGCGAAGTAAGAACAATGTAAATACTAAATATTTATTGCACAACTTAATATTATTTCAATGAATAAAAAATAATTTTTATACATATCATGTCTTTATTTCACATAAATTATTAATATAACTGTACTTAGAAGAAAATACAATAGTTATATAACTCGAATTCGTGTGGGGTGTATAATACCAAGCACATACGTAATAGATACGGATGAGAAGGGCAAGGCTGCTCAACTTAAGGCATAGCAGATATGTGATATATAATTATGGAGGGTAGATACCACACGTCGATATGACAGGTGGGAAGGGGGGGCGAGCATGGCCAAGTACGTACGTGTAGCATAGGCTGGGCGGGGTAGTCGGATTCATCGGTTTTTCGGAGATCCAGAACATACTAAAACATACTACTTATGTGGATCGGCGGTGCTTGTTGGGTTCAGGAGATCCACCGGCAACTCACCGGACGGCGTGACTCATGAGTAGCGGTTATTATGGACTTGTTTTATTAAGATGGGTCGTACTATTATTTCCATAATTATTAACATTAATTATTATGTTATTAATAACATTACCTGACCCATTGACATTTTTCATAGAATTAGAATGTTCTTTGTATTTCGGAATATTTTGTTCTGTGACATGAATTATTTTGGAAATTTGGGAGTACCTTTCAATAAGGGCTAACAAAATGATGGCATAATTTTTATCAGCGATTTCTATAACTGGAAAGGGTTGTTTTTTCATTTTTTCCTTAAGCCCATCAATTTATTTTCATATTGTTTTGTTTTTTTTTTATAATCGTTTTATTCTTGGGTTCGTTAAAAAAAAATTAAAAATTATAACAATTTATATTCACTCTAAACTTAGTACTTACTAATTTTGCATTTTCAAAAAAAAAAATTGAATGTACATTACCAGCCGCAGAAAAAATACAGAAAACACAAAATAAAAATAATATAATATTTTTCATGTTCATTTTTTTTTTTTTTAATATTCTCAATATAATTATCTTCAAACTATATATAAAAAAAAAAAAAAAAAACAAAACACTATTATTTCCAGCAACATATCACTGAAAAAAACATTATAATATTATATATTTACGTTAATTATACAAGAATTCATTATTTCGGACAAAACAATTTCGAAGAATGAACCACACAATGAATATTAATATTTTTAATAATTTTCAAGAAACGAAAATGTTTTTAAATGGTTTTCATTATTACGTTTTTAAATGTCTTAAAAACATTTTTTGACCAACAATATTTTTTTTTAATATTTTAAATACTATTAAATAGTATTTTTTATATGTATAATACATTTTTCCAAAACATTATATATTTATTATTAGAATATATTTCATAAATATTGCTTTATATATTAATTTTAGGTAACAAGGTATCATATATGCAGTATACTATAACTTACCGTACAACCTATATTACCTACCTACTTTATTATATATATCTACATGTTATAGCCAATAGGGAGGTTTATAATACGAATGTTTCAATGTCTTTATTATAGGTAATATACCATTATACTAAATATATTATTATAGGTATAGAATATCTGAATACAAATAAATACAATATTATGAATGTACATTATAATATATAAATACAATACTATATCATAAGAAATTTAATATTAATATAACTATTATAATA